GACATTTACATTACCATTTCCCCATGTGAATCGTTTAAGATGCTTTCTTTCTTGAGGCACAATGTACGTTTAGTCTAAAAAATGATTTCTCTACAACATTCACTTATTTCCCTTTAGCTCCTCAATGAGATATTTCTCCTCTTTCTCAAGGATTCTGTAGAAGACGTCTTTGCCACGAAGCCCTGCTGCATTCAGGGGACCACTGAAGAGTTCCCTCATCTTCTTCTGAGAGGTTGGGATTACCATGATATCACTATAACTCGATTGAGTGATGACCTTTTCCTGATGGAGCTGATCCAAAATGTCTGCAACGCAGTTCACTCTGTTGATCAGCTCGGTTCTATGTTTATCCACAAAGTGCTCACCTGAGGAAGGAGGGAATAATGAGTAAAGTGTTGATGATGCCATGAAGCCAACTTGATTTATATTTTATTTTCTATAACAGTAACTTCTTTATTTTCAATGTATGTGTATTGCATTAGTTTATCTGCATGTGGGTCCGTGGAAGGTTGGTTTAATAATTTGGGATAACTACACAAACCTGATGCATATTCTGTGTTTTAGAGAAATTGGTAATTATTTTTGGGAATAGTGGATTGACAATTTTGCCATCGAAGCACATCTGAAACAATAAGGTCTTCTTCTAACAATTACAAACTTGTTTTCTCCAAATGCAATTAAATAAACCTCTCACATCTTCTGCTTTGATGATGGGACATACAAATGTTGATTTTCTTGCCAAGAAGGAGAAAAAAAGGTTGAAATGTCTCAACATCAGAGTTTTATCTTTCTTTTCGTATAAGGCAAAGAAAGAACCAAAAAAGAATATTCCCCAAGTGTCAAATTATTTGTTTAAAAACAATGCAGCACTTATCAGTTTATTACATTGGTCTATAGCCTAGACTTTATTTAGAACAAGTAAAGCCTTTTCTAAATATTCATCATGAAGTAAATTAGCATGTATGTTTTATAGTCAGAGTCTGGGTTGCTAGTAAAATCTGATTAGTCACAAATCAAAATCAAGTGTGCACCCACCGTCTACCATGGTGTATTGAGCTGCCGTCCCTCCAGCTAAGGGTCCCGCAGCTGAAACAAATTGAGGGAACATTTAAATTGCTTAATGATGGACAGGTTTGGTGTTTATGCTTTTTTTTTTCATGCACACAGCAACTCAGCAAAATACGGTCAATCTATGTGGACATGTAAGATTCATTTTACATACAGGCACTGTCATTGGTTGCCAGTTTAAGAGAATACCTTAAACAATAAGATTGATGGTATTCTATTATTTTCAAAATCTCAACAAAATGTGTTACTGCATTACATATTTTGGGAAAGCAGTAATTATAAACCCTACAATTTTGAGGTATTTGACCAGAAATATTCGGAAATGTGATTATGTCCATATCGCACAGCTTTAAATGACTATGCACCATTTATTCACTTTTTTTTTGTCACTGTATCCAAATTCACATAGTGTCAAGTCAATTGTTGTCAATGTGAAGGGTGCAGTTTGAGGAGAAATGTTAACCTGCAAATTCTGAAGAAGATCCCTGCAAATCTTTCCACTGTCTTTTGTGTGGGGCTTTCAAGTTTTGTGAACTAAAGACTTTTCGCTTTTTGAAATAAATTGAATCCTATACTAGTTTTTCTATTTTATATAAGCAAGGAAACCTAATGTAGATAAACAACTCACTGTTCTTTGATTCATTACCTGAGGACGGTCCACCCGTAGCTACCACTGCAAAAATAGACAGATATGGTTAGCACGAAATATGACGGAGGACAATTTGACATACACGTTTAATGTAGGACACACTAACACTGCCTGCTGTGATTGGCTGTTTAAAATGGGAGCTTGTCTAAACACTACTACTCCAGCAGGAGGAGAAATGATCTACTCACTGAAGAGAGGCTGACATGACTCACATTTTCTCTAATATATTTCACTTGATGGATTCAGACTAGAGACCTGTTTAACCAGTTATCCAACAACCGTTGTACATTGTTCTAGATTTACTAGGAACTGTTTGCCTTAAGCCTTTTATCATTTTGACTCTGATGAAGAAAGAGTAGTGTAAAAACTAAACTGAAACAGTTTTAATTGTTATCATAAGAGACAAAAAACACAGTCTGTGCTAAATGTATCCTAAGTTTAACACAATTAAAGGACTATGTGTTTAACTGCTCTATTGAATAGTTTTGAGGCTAGATGTAAAGCCACAACATCCATATTTAAATATATCAAGATGTTTTCACAGCAGAAATGTTGATATGCTGACTCAGTCAGAAAAACACAGTGCACATGCCTACATTTTTTTTAACCCAAGGTCATTTTGAATATATGAAAGGATGTTTGTTTGTTTGTGTGAAATCAACTCACTGTTACTGGATCCAGGTTCTGAGTATTTAACACCTGTATCTTTCACTGAAATAACAAAGAAAACAAAGTTAGAAAGTAATATGATGGAATTACAGTTTGACATACAGGTTTCCTGAGGTTTGTCATGTTTTCTAATTTTAGAGCTTGGTTTTGGGCATGAGAGTCCTAATGATTTAACGCATTTTTTATGTTTATCATGTGAGACAAAATCCACATTTCTCGTTTAGTGCTAAATTGTAAGTTTAATAATGTTCAATTAATGCGTTTTTAACTCGTATTCAATTGTTATGAAAGAAAAGATCTTAACTTTTTAATCACAGATATTTTGATTACATAAAAGGATGTTATTCTTTTTATTTTGTTTTAGATAAATAATTTCTTATTGAGTTACACTATAGGCTAACTAAATAAGGATACACTGACATGACTCGAGAGGAAGTCGGGCGGGTCCCGGCGGTTACATTTCCTAAACTGTGTAGAAATATAAGAATAAAGGCTATTTCAAGTAAACCCTCATCGATTAAACGTTGTTATTTGTCGCTGATCATCTGCAAGCACACATGATGTAGGGCGCAATGTTTATCAGTCCAAAAAGTTATGTTCTCATTCTGCATCAAACCATGAAGTACTCACACAGTTGGTCTGCTTCATTTTTGCAATTTATCTCGTTCAATAACTCCGCTGCCACTTCGACAGCTCCGGTCTCATCAAAAGTGGAAATCAGCACATCTAGGATATCCAAGTCGCTTTTCCCCTCCACCCTGTTGCGTGCGACCCGCGGCTCTTTTTTGCGGGTCATAAGCTCGTGGCAGAAATTGGTAAAGTTCTCCTTTGACAGATTTTTCAACATGCGTTTTACAGCCTTTTGTTTATCCATTTTTCACCAACAGATGTGGGACTGCCGTGACTTTATCTCCCAGACCAGCAGCAGAGGACACAGAGTTTGCTTTCCTTTTCGCTTGAACCGACTGCTGCCGCGCTCGAGAGGAAGCAGGGCGCCCCTCCCTACAGTACGTGCGCAGAGCGAATAGGGCCTCATATCGCGCTGGTCCAGCCCACTGCATTGCTTTGCAAATAATGGCTTACATTTGTTTTGGTCTTTTGTTTCCCCATTACTGGATTCCTTTTTTTGTCTTTATGAGACACCTAGACTGAAAGACAAGAAAACGGCTACACTGTGAACAACATAGGCCTACTCATTTTTGAACCAACATGTCTGAATCCTTGTCCAAGAACTGCACGTAAACTACTGCGGTCAACTCAGCCGTCTCTCGCATTTGGTTGGTCAAATGAGCAGCGCTTCATTTTTGAGTGCGCGATTCATAGCGTCTTTACGGTAATCGCCGAGAAGCGGCACTGACGGTAGTACAAGAGTAAAATAATGCATGTTTTTTCTGCTTTATTTGCGATACAAATAATTTTTACCATATTACGTTCTTAAAAAAACTGACACTGTTTGACTCAGTCCTAGTTTGACTGCTACCTACAATAAAATGAAGTAGCTTACTACGTGTTTTTTTCTGGGTAATAGGCTACTCTCAAATTCCCTTCCTGAGAAGAAAATCATGCCACTTCTGCTATATTTGATGAGAGATAACATGATTTGTTGCTATAAGTTGTACATAAAATTGATATTGTTGGACTCAGTACTACTTGGACTACTACCACAAGTACAATCAAGTGTTTTTACCGTGTACGTTTTGAGTAATACTCGTTTAAACTCCTGTCCTGAGTACACAAATTAATGTATTCTGATATCTTTGATGAGAGATCAAATTATTTTTTGCTATAATTCTTAGTGAAATTGATACTGTTGGAATCAGTACTACTTGGACTACTACCACAAGTATACTCAAGTACTTTTACTGTGTACTTTTTGAGTAATCCCCTGTCAAACTCCGCTCCAGAGTAATAATGCATGTTTTCTGCTCTCTTTGATGAGAGATAAAATGATTTTTTGCAATAGGTTCTTAGTGAAATTGATACTGTTGGACTCAGTAGGCCTACTACTTACTACCGCAAGTACAATCAAGTACTTTCACTGAGTACCTTTTGAGTAATACTCGTTTAAACTCCTGTCCTGAGTACACTAATTACTGTATTTCTGCTATCTTTGATGAGAGATAAAATGATTTTTTGCAATAAATTCTTCGTGAAATTGATACGGCTGGACTACTTGGACTACTCGGGAGGGGAGTTTGACAAAGGATTACTCAAAAAGTACACAGTAAAAGTACTTGATTGTACTTGTGGTATTAGTCCAACTAGTACTCTAACAGTACCAATTTTATTAAGAACTTATTGCAAAAAATCATTTTATCTCTCATTAAAGATTGCAGAAAACATGCATTATTGTACTCTGGAGGGGAGTTTGACAGGGGATTACTCAAAAGGTACACAGTAAAAGTACTTGATTGTACTTGTGCAGTAGTCCAAGTAGTAATGAGTCCAACAGTATCAATTTCATGAAGAGCTTATTGCAAAACATTACGTTATCTCTCATCAAAGATAGCAGAATACATTAATTAGTGTACTCAGGACAGGATTTTAAACGAGTATTACTCAAAAAGTACACAGTAAAAGTACTTCATTGTATTCGTGGTTAACAAGTACTGAGTCCAACAGTACCAATTGTATTAAGGATTTATGGTAAAACATATTTTTATCGAAAATATAGCACAAAAACATGCACTTTTATTCTTACCGCTTCTCGCTGATTACCGTAAAGACGCTATTAATCGCGCACTAAAAATGAGTCCAGTCGATATTAGGCTGGATTAGATGGCTGATTAAGAGGGGTTTTGGAAACTTTAGCTGGTCAGGATGGTTGGTTTGGTCTAGCTGGTCACCATTAGCTGGTCGGGATAGCTGGTTTAGCTGGTATAAACTGGTGGTCACAGTGGTCTAGCTGGTCAGGATAGCTGGTTTGGTCACTGTGGTCTAGCTGGTCACCATTAGCTGGTCAGGATAGTTGGTTTAGCTGGTAAAAGCTGGTGGTCACAGTAGTCTAGCTGGTCACCATTGACTGGTCGGGATAGCTGGTTTAGCTGGTAAAAGCTGGTGGTCACAGTGGTCTAGTAGCTGGTCACCATTAGCTGGTCAGGATAGCTGGTTTAGCTGGTAAAAGCTGGTGGTCACAGTGTTCTAGCTGGTTAGTCTGGTCAGACTGGTATGATCTTGAGTAGAACTTTAACTGGGATTACTTGATGGTTAAGCTGGTCATGATGAAACACTCACCCAATTGCAGTAGCTCAATGAACATCTATCATTTCAGATCAGAGCACCTACTTTACCAGAAAGGTATCAGAATGTTTAGAATGTATTGTTTGTCTGTAAAGAAATACTCATACATCAAATGATTAGAAGCAGGAAAATAATTTATAACACACAATGAATAT